GTGAGTTTTTCAAAAAGCTGAAATTGCACGAGCCGCTTCGGCGAGTGTAATTTCAGCTTTTTGAAAAACTCACAAGTGCAGATTAACTCCAAATTGAACGAGAAAAACCGTATGATTACTTATTAATAATATAAACATGAAAAATTCGCGCGGAGGAAGTGCCGGAAGATCTTTCTTGAAGCCACGTTTTCTCATTTGAGAAAACGTTTTTCAAAGTTTCCGCACAAATTTTCGTCATAATTTTACGTGATGTCATTGGCTTAAAAAAATTTCGTATTGTCTTTCAGCCCATCATAATCTAGAATTACGATGTGTAATTTGCACTGGTGTTACACTTGAACTGCACTGCTCTCGGTCAATTTTTTCATGTATATTAGATGCATAACTAATATAAAGTCCATTCCATCTTGCTTGCGAAATTAATATTTGCCTAGCTATTCTTAAAATGCAGATGTATAAGCTTCTAAAAGTATTGCCTAAAGTACGTTTATTATTGCATTTAGGATATGTCATTTATGGAGTCGCATGCATTCATCGCGATTAATATTAAACTGAGACATCTTTCACTAACCACTATTTTAACAACATAAAACTAAACTTAGTGCCAAAACCAATGTTATAACTGCTTATTTTTTAGTAGCAATCCTGACAGCCTTGTTGTCCCACTGATTGGTCTGTAACGATTTCAACATGAAGTGAGCCACATCAGCTCGCGACACTGAAAAGGCTCCCCTTGGCACAGACTGCCCATTAGTCACCAGATAATCATCAGTTAAAGGTCCTAAAAAATAAATAAAAAATTATAACTTTTATGATCCAGCTGGTTCTGAAACAGATCAAACTATATTGGAAATTACGAAAACGCGCGTGTAAGGCACCGCATGGTCCGCATGCCAAAAGTCGAGATACTTTCACGATTCGGCGCATGTCTGAGTGTGGGCTCTTTGGGCTTGTCACGCAATCTTCCTTCCCCCCACGAAGGTCTGCTGAAACTCAGGGCTTTCTACGTAACCCAATCACAACGCACCTCCCGATCAAGACAGTGATCGGACGGCGACGGGCTTTGGACCCGGATAAATTTTGTACGAGACTTTAACGGATAGCAGCGTGGCCTTAAATAGTGTGTGGATATTAAAACCGTCGATTTAAATCCTTATTAACAAGAAGCTGTAGAGTCTTTCGTGAAGAAAAAGAAGGACGCGCTTGTACGCAGACATTCGTTTTTACTACATAATGATCCGGCGCTGACTGGCTCTAAAGTAACTGACATCCTGGTGATCTTCAGCTGATCTTTACGAACAAAGGGAAAGGAAAGTGCCATTTGTTTTACCACAAGATCGTGAAGGAGGAGGATTGCGTGACAAGCCCAAAGAGCCCAAAGAGCGCCACAGATGGCTAGGAACAGGCTAACAGTAGTATACGTACCTGTTGTAATGATCAAACTGTTTTTTGAACATATCTGCTGTAGTTTTTGGAATAAAAATGTAATCCCAGTCTGCCTGTTCAATAAGTCTTAAACCTAGACCTATGCAAGTAGATCTTACTGGTTCTAACCATTCAAAACATATAAGCAAGTGACATAACTGTTAATTACCATGGTGAAAAATTGAACAGATGTAAATTGGGCTGTACCTTGAGTCAAAAATGGAAGCCTCACCAAAGTGTAGCAAAGATTCGAGTTCATTACTATGTTCTCCATCGCCATCAAGTCATTCAGACGGGATCGTACCAGTTTTCTTAATAGCCATTCCATCCACCCGGGATCTATGGGATCTTTCTGAGCAATAACACCAGACAAACCAACTAATCTCTTAATGCTCGACCTAGTGGAGGCAAAAAACCCATGGTTAATGACTTCAACAGTTGCCAAAAAAGTTAAAAATACAAATGAATCTGTTTTACCCTCTTCTGGAATCAAATTTGTAAAATAAAATCTCAGATGAGGAGAATGTTTGAATTGAAATATTGCATTCAGTTCAACCACAATTCATCAGTTCGTTGATTTATTTCAGGTTTTATGCTCAATACACTGCAACACAATTTTAAGCCAAGAACATGTTTCAATTTTCAATTATAAAAGGTTCTTAGACACAAGGTTCTTATATGGATGCTAACTTTGCTAATGAGAATCTTACATAAAATGTTCAAATCAAATATAATTTTATAGTTACCTTTCTGCTGCTGTTATTATGGATGTTATTGACTTGGAGTAGAGTGTTTTTGCTCCTACTTGAAAACCTAGACATGACACCACAGCATTCTTACCCTCAAGAATTGGAGTTATTGAATCTGCATCAAACACATCTCCCTTAACTACCTCAAGATTTTCATGCCTGCAAAAGTCATGAAAATGATTGAGTGGTGTTACTGTGCATCTAATGTCACAGGCATACTTACAGACATGAGAACCAATCATATTTCTGAGCAGAAACAAATAATAGCAATTTCTAATCAAAGTTATTTCTTTACTTAATATTGACTGCTTCTGGCAAATGACCTGCATTTTGAATATAATTAGTCCTCGTTGCATTAAATTTTTATCCTGGCTTAAAAAAAAACAACAAAGGTGTAAGAATAGGCATGGACTAGGTGGGACATTGTTCATCAAGAACAATTTAAGTTAAGTACTCTTAGCTCACTATGTTTAACTGCTAATTCTCACAGATCTTAGGGGAGTTTGCATTTACTTAGGTTGTTTTCCTAGAGCTCAATCAGTTTCAGCTAACAAACTGTTAAATTAGTGTGACCTTACTTAAGCTGGAATTTCTCTAGGTTCCTCACGACAGCTGCGACGGAATGACCTTTTGCCAAAGCCTGTTGAACCAGAAGAAGTCCAGTCCGTCCTGTGGCGCCAAATACTGCGAGCTTAGGAAACAGCAACTCTGCAGCCGCCATGTTTGATTAAACAACATACATGGGTTGTTCTTACATGAAGTATACATCCCTCACAACACTGAATCATTTATAGCCATGGCGGTTGAATTGCTATTTCCTAAGTTGGCAGTTTTTGGCGCATCAGGACCAACGGGTCGTCTTGTGGTACAACAGGCATTGGCCAAGGGTCATGTGGTTTGCGCTATTGTTAGAAGTCCCGAGAAATTCGACTTGAAGTAGGTCATTATATCTTCCATCACTGCTTTCAGATTTCGTGACTCGAACTGTGAAATATGGGAGGTTTTCTAAACACCTTGTTAACAGTATTAACAATGCAAACGACAATGAAAAGGAGTTAATTTTATTTTCTTAGACAAAAGTCAGAAGATTTCTGTTACGAACAGCGACTGAGTGTCCAGATTATGTAAAATTAAAATGTAAATAGCTTTCATTCGAGTCAAACGTAGACAGATAATATTTTTCTTTGTTCAGAACTTGTCATTCGCTGGCGAACATTCATCTTACCTTTCGTATCGTATTAGTCGATCTTTAAATGAGAGTTTGTGTGCCATTTCCTGTATCGCGAAATGAGTTGTTCGCCCAGTACTCAGTCTGAGCAATCAGCAGCGCTTATAGAATAAATTAGCGCATCTAAACAAACTATGTCACGCAACCACGAAAACAACAGGTCGCGGTATTCATTAATACTCAATAATTTCGCTTTAGTGTATCTGTAGTCTCTGTTGTTAATTATTATTTGTAATATCGTTAGTTTATTAGTTGTCTTTAGTCATCGTTGTCAATTCTAGTCTCTTTAGTTCTCTTGTTACCTTCAGTTGNCCGCGGGCATGTTACAATTGTAATTTTAATTTGATAGCAAATAAAATGTCTGTCTGTCTGTCTGTCTGTCTGTAGAAATCGTATAACAACCCGTAACCTTTGGCGTTTGAATATTTGAGGACTCCACACTCAAACGTTCTCAAAAAATATGTCTCGCTCTGAATTTGTCCTATGCATTTTGTTATAACAGGCATGAAAAGCTTGAAGTCATTAAAGGGGATGTTTTCAATGCAGAATCACTGGTTCCTATCCTGCAAGGTAAAGATGCCGTGTTATCTTGTCTTGGAGCGCATGGCACAAGCGTCTTCAAGCACACTACACTATACTCCGAGTCAATGAAAGCAATAGCATCAGCTATGGAAAAGTAAGTTTACTTTTTTGTAGTCAAAGTTACCGTTAAACATAGGGCTGTGGTATGAGCTGTGTTCCTTAGTTGCATCGTATTTTTGCCTGCAGTTTGCTAAGCTTGCTTCATTGTGTTGAAATAGAAAGAAAAAAAAAAGCTAAACGTGATGGAAACAAAGAAATATTAATTGGAAAGGAAAAGAAATAATGAGTAAATGATTCAAGATTTTGTTTCAATTTGGATTTCATGACATCCTTTCACAACTGAAATAAAAGTTTATGACTGTAATATACTCCCATTCTTCCANGACAGTTTACCTTTGATGCAAGTGAATATACGAAATATCATTTATCTGAACTGCGGAGAAAGATATGAAGGCATGATTGACCATCGCAATTATACGCACAACTGAAGCAGTCGTGAAATTAAAGCCTGAAAAAAAAATTCAGGCCTGAACGGGACTCGAACTCATGACCTCTGCGATACCGGTGTAGTGCTCTACCAACTGAGCTATCAAGCCATCTGGGAGTTGGTCACATTGTGAGTTCGTAATATACCCGTAGATGGTGAAGAGTGCAAGTGAATATACGAAATATAATATAGTTGAACTGCAGAGAAAGATATGAAGACATGATTGATCATCGCAATCAAAACCCAACAGCCTGAAAAAAATTCATCTGTGACCAGCTCCCCATTGGCTTGATATTATAAAAGAATAAAGGAATATCACACCTGAATTAAATTAAACGTTCTGCTCAGAGTAGTCACTCTAGTGTAATTTGCATAACAAAATTTTGAATTTTGAATTTTTTTCCTTGATCCGATCCGTGATCCGATCCGTGATCCGATCCGTGGTCCGGTCCGTGATCCGATCCGTGATCCAGTCCGATCCGTGATCCGGTCCGATCCTGATTTTGTCAACACCGCATTATTTCGGTTGTTTTCCTAGGGCTCAATTAATTTCAACTTACAAACAGTTAAATTGGTGTGTCTTTACTCGAGCTGGAATTTTTCTGTATTCCTTACAACAGCTGCGACGGAATGACCTTTTGCCAAAGCCTTTTGAACCAGGGGAAGTCCAGTCCGTCCTGTGGCGCTTAATACTGCGAGCTTAGGAAACAGTAACTCTGCAGTCGCCATGTTTGATTTAGACAACATACATGGGTTGTTCTTACATGAAGTATACATCCCTCATAACACCGGGTCATTTATAGCCATGGCGGTTGAATTGCTATTTCCTAAGTTGGCAGTTTTTGGCGCATCAGGACCAATGGGTCGTCTTGTGGTACAACAGGCTTTGGCCAAGGGTCATGTGGTTTGCGCTATCGTTAGAAGTCCCGAGAAATTCGACTTGAAGTAGGTCATTATATCTTCCATCACTGCTTTCAGATTTCGTGACTCGAACTGTGAAATATGGGAGGTTTTTTGACACCTTTTCATTAGTTCAGAAATTGTCATTCGTTGGCGAACATTCTTTCTACTTGAAGTCTCGTATTAGTCGATATTTGAACGAGCTTCTGTGACATTTCTGTATCGCGAAATGAGTTGTTCGCCCAGTATTCAGTCTAAGCAATCAACATTGCTCATAGAATAAATTAGCGCATCTATACAAACAAAAGCATATAATACTTACGGGAAGAGTAGAGAACTACCTATAAATTCTATGAAAATTCTCGACTGCCGTGCTGGTACCGCACAAGCCACAGTGCAAACGTTCCTCTTCTTACAGGTCCTTGGGTTTTAAGTAAATTGTTACATATTCAGAGTCTTTGAGCGAGTTTTTTGTACTGTGTCACGCAACCACGAAAATAATAGGTCACGTTAATTTTGGAGGCAATCGTATAACACGTAACCTTTGGCGTTTGAACATTTGAGAACTCTACACTCAAACGCTCAAAAAATGTCTCGCTCTGAATTTTCCTGATGCATTTTGTTATAACAGGCATGAAAAGCTTGAAGTCATTAAAGGGGATGTATTCAATGCAGAATCACTGGTTCCTATCCTGGAAGGTAAAGATGCCGTGTTATCTTGTCTTGGAGCGCATGGCACAAGCGTCTTCAAGCACACTACACTGTACTCTGAGTCAATGAAAGCAATATCATCAGCTATGAAAAAGTAAGTTTATTTATTTGTTTCTTTTTCTAAAATACCATTAGACATAGGGCTGTGGTGTGAAATGTGTTCCTTTGTTACTTGAAATTTTCGCCTTCAGTTTCGTTTTTGACAATTTTAAAAGTACATTGTTCCCGCGGAAACATCTAAGTATGGCCGACTGGAGTTTGATATAAGCTTGCTTCATTATGTTGAAATACAAACAAGAGAAAAGAAAAATATGGTGGAAACAAAAAAAATATTTCACTGGAAAAGAAAATAAAATAAAAAAGAGTAAATGATTCAAAATTTCGCTCCAGTTTTAATTTCTTGACATCCTTTCAAAACCGAAAGAAAAGTCGATGACTGTAATACACCTCCATTCTTTTAACAGCGACACATTTAATAAATCAAGTAGCAATATAGCCGATTGTTACACATGAAGGCTTTAATCATATATCGATACGATCAATACGGAACTTCAGTAGTTTCCATGTGACCGAAATCCTAAACAGGAGATAGAGAGTCACTTGACACAGGAGGAATCCCCTGCTGATCCAGTACAGTACCTCTTAAGGGTTTTTATCTTTGTCACCATTAAACTTCTTTGGTACACGACAAATTTAGATCAGAAGGCCAATAACTAAGATCAACTAATCATATTGTTTAATGTCGGCTCAATACATATATTTCCAAGTATTGGATCGGGTTATGCCCCGAATTGTCCTTAAAACGACTCTCCTGGCAAAAAATATTTCATTTCTTCTTCAAAGGTTCTTTGCCTTCTTTTTTACGAAACGCCCGAGTACGCTACGTCGGTTTTGAATCAAAACACGCTTGAAGTTTACGGTGTCTTTAGTCCCTGATCGTGGGATATTTTCAAACATTGTCAGTCATGTAATAAATCCGTTATCAACCAAGCTTACTCGGGACCGTAGAACAAAGGCCCTAAGTCTTTTGTGTACGACACTCGATGCGCTCGGTTCTCGATACTTTCCCATTGGTGGCATCGCGCTTGGTTTGTAAGCCTTAGCTAGTTTAGTAAGATACGCGTCATAGAATGATTAGGCTAACCTGTTTACATTCTTGTTGCCACCCTATTCAGATCATGTGACGATTCATTTGGGAGGTTAAAATTGTTCTGTTTGTACATACTCATATGCAATCATGCTGCGTGTTGCAAATTGCACAAATTGTAACCTCCCAAATGAATCATCACGTGGTCTGAATTAAGAAACAACAAGGATGTAAACACGTTAGCCGAATCCGTCCATTGCCTTGCTGGTTGACTGAGATCATGTACCGTTGCATCATTCAGGACAAACCTAAACAGATTAGTATGTGTAACATCATGGAGTACTCAGAAGGAACCTGGATGTCCGAAACTTATCGAATGGTTTTTGAAGCCATTGTTGATGGCCGGGTTCATTCACAATATGGCACTGATGGAAAACTTATTGATGGAGTCTAACCTCTGCTACACTGTCGTGCGGCCTCCGATATTGAGCAACGGTGAGTTGTTACCTTGAGCATGGTAACGTAAATGTGAAGCCCTTCCACTGTAAAGTGGAGGCGAAGTGCCTCATGGTTAGTGCGCAGCGGTCCGGGTTCAAGCCCTGACCGGAGACATTTTGTGTTTTGTTCTTTGGCAAGATACTTAACTCTCACAGTGGTCTCTCTTCACCCAGGTTTACGAATAGATACTGACGAATTTAATACTGGGGGTAACCCTGTGATGGACTAGCATCCCATCCAGGCGGAGTAGGAATATTCCTAGTCGCTTCAAGCTACATAAACCGGGATAAGCTCCGGTCTGATGGGCCACTTGGCTCATATGCAGACTTTACCTTTTTTAACCTTCTGGAATCCTGTCACGCCAGTCACACTCTGACTGGCGTGACTCTGACTAGGGAGGCATTGAGTCGCGCTCGTATTATACCAAATTTGGGTACGGCAAACACAGTCTTGTTTGGTCTCGCCAAAATACGTATTAGTCTGTGTCCCCTTACAAGTATGGGTTTCTCCCTGGCTTCATGGTTTGAGTCTTAAATAACGTTTTTATCCAATATTTATATATATTTGACAATAAAGTTGACAGTTACTTGTGATAATACATTGTTCGTGGCTAGTCTTACGCAGCTCGTTTCGTCCCGGCCAAGGGACTCATCAGAGACCTTTCTGCTTGGCAATCTCGCCTTATATCGTGAATTTGTGCGGTCGGGAATTCTTATGCGATATAAGGCGAGATTGCTGTCATCATTTTGTTAGCGAACGGGACTTTGGGCGCGATGCCCAACGAGTTTGCCAAGCAGAAAGGTCTCTGATGAGTCCCTTGGTCGGGACGAAACGAGCTGCGTAAGACTAGCCACGAACAATGTATTTTATATATTTACCATGGCTTAACCGGACTTGCTTTATACGAAACTGAGGGGTGCCAAAATTGCAGTTCGTTCCTGTCAAGAGACACTTTAACTTTGGTATTTTCCAGATCCAGCCAAGAGCGACTATAAAGTGATAGAAGGGCAGTTTGTACCTGGCGCTCCAATGTTCATACCAAGAGCTGATGTCGCAGACTTCATTTTATCATCACTAGACACTCATGAATGGGATAGAAAGTGTGTGGCCATCGGCAGGAAGTCTTGACACGGGATTTGACTGATGAGACGCGTTGCTAAGTGATTATTTAACACTTTCATAAGGAAAACTCAGTGTGAGTCCCATACAAAGGTGAAACGCAGGATTAAAAGATAGAAAGCAAAATTATATTTGTGAAAGAGTACACTGCTTGAACATTTTCTCGTGAAATTGTCAGATATACGGCCGAAAATGAAAGTTTGCATGCCTTGAAAGAATTGGGTTCCCACGCGTTGCCACTTTGAGAGAACAAAAAGCTGTTGTCGCATGTGATGTCATAATGTCGACGCTAGGGAAATTCATAAGCCCCGAATTTTGTTTGTCAGTGCCTTTGTTTTCAGTTTCGGCTACATGTATATGTCTGCTTGTATGTATCATAGATTACTGTAAGCTAAAACATAGTGTTACATTACATTTGTGTCGCTGAAGGACGAGACCATTGTAAACCAGACTTGGGCGATGGTCTTTGAATGACATGGCACAAAGGAAATATTGTATATTAGAAAGCTACAATCAAAATGAAACACAGCTGAAACAAATGCTCTTTCGTAGAATGCACGCTCGTATACTTGAGTTTGTATTCAATATGAGCAAGAGTGATGTTTCAATAAATTGAGTATATCTACGGATTTTAGGGATCTCAGGTACTGAACGATCAGTAAATGAATTATAGCTACGTTAACTGATTAGGGTGAGTGCAGCTCTTCCAATAAATTTACTGGCGCTTACCATCTAGGTGGTTAATTGCCCGTGCAATTGCCCTGTCCAATTCTTCACATCACGGTAAGACTTCACCACGTGAGATGCAGTGGGCTAAAGGTTCAGCCGGGAAAGGTAGTAAAGTTGTTACAAATGGTTGGGGTAGTTGTAAAGTTTCTGATTTTAATTATCCAATAAAGGGAAAAAACAACAACAGCAACAAAATTAGCAAGCGAAAACAAACGTTAAAAAAACACTTGTTTCGGTGTCATCATGACGCCACTGTCAAGGTGATTATGGAAATAACCAGCGAGTCATGTATTTAAGAAGACGAAGTCAACTATATAAGCATAAATAATTAGAAAAATAGCCCCTTTTAATCAGACTAGGTTTTAAACGTCTAGTAATATCCTGTGCACTATACCATCAATCTTAGTGCACGAGATTCATTAGACGTTTCAAACCTAGTCTAAACGTGCAACCAGACTCCATTCGTGCGAAAGTGTTTATGTTATTCAACTCCATTTATTATGCAAATTTCTTATAAAGGAATCAGAATGTCTCTATAGCAATGACAATGACGTCATGATTATAAAACAGTACTTTCAAAGTGAAGCAATTTGCTGTAGTTTTGTAAGGTCGAAAAAACATTACCGAAGTAATACCAAATTAAAAATAAACGAGAAATACTATACATATTATAACAAACTGAAAGTTAACTAAGAACTGCAGTTGGACTACCAACGACAAACTTGAAAGAAAAATCATCTTTTTTCGGCTTCAACGTTCACGTGTCTATATAGAGAGCGAAGACAGTGACTACGGTTCTCGCTCAGTAGTAACGGCAGACTCTGCTGTTTAAACTCTTTCGTGGTGCTATTCGTTATTGGATCATAAATTTCTGGGATTAGGACAACGGACGTGACTGCACTGATCTCCACTTTCAGCAGGGAAAGATCAACAACTCTCTTTCCATTTCACAATTACGTCACGTTTCGGTTGAGACCTGTCAACAGAAATGCACGAAACCTAAATTTCCTTCGGTTCTGATTCTTCTCACTCGATTTGTGTTTGAAAAACAAGACCCCGATCATTGATGTTTTGAAATGGTAGTTCGAGAACGAAAACGAGATTAAGATCGAAAACGATACAATAATAAAACCATACTGGCTTATGAATAGCTTTTTATCTGATGTACCTCACATCACGTTAATCGGAAAAATCGTTTCCACGGTCACGCCATGAAACTGATATCATTTGAATGAATAAACATTTCACAATGCACGCAAACGCATTGTTGGTTTATCTGATCTGAAAACAAAATTGTGAAGGGCAGAAAAAAATTTAATGTGTGAAAAACACAACAGGACACGTTTACATTAATATTTTTTGGGGGGATCTTTGGACTCGTCGTGTCCTGTCTTCTAAGCTCCAACAGCTCATACCAAGAACACAAGCTCCTCCTAATCTTGTGGTGACTTGAGCGGAATTGTTTTTCCTCTTCTCTTTTTATTCCAAGAGCCCGTTTGGTCAGACTGGTTGAAATTCGCCACAATTTCAAGCGTTTTTTCCCGTGATCTAAACTGGCAGATGCAGGTTACAGTTTCACATTAATCTCGCAACTGGAAAAAAGACAAAGCCGAAAAACAAAATCGCGCGAATCTCGAAGAAGTGAAACAAGAACTCGAGACTTAAACACAGATTTCTCCACACCTCAACACTGATTTTGCCCCATAAGCAGTTATTTTTAAAGGAAGTGAATGGCCGCCGTTCCTGTTAGCAAAGCCTTCGTGGGACGACTCACGCAAGCAACAGCTGAAAGCAAACTGAAAGGTTTCAATACTCAAAACAAGGGTGACAAGGATGTCAACGAGCAGCATAAGTGTTTCCTTCAAAGCGTCAGCTTTCTACGAAAGATTTCTGTATCGTGCCATGACCAAGCGATGAGGATTTACATTGAGAAAGATAGCCAGTCCTAAACTTATTTTTCTGGGAGTCAGGAAAGTCAATTAATTTGCATGATCTGTTTTCATCTTGAGATCAAAAGATCACGACCTCGATATCACGTTCTCTTGTTCAACAACAAGACATTCGAAGGACATCTTCGGTCGCGTTTGGGAATAATGCCGTCTCTAAACAGATGCATTTGAGTGGTGGTAATTACCAACAGCAGAATAACGCAATTGTTATTTCAGTTGAACGAATCATATTAGTTTCCAATTAGTGCTGATGAAACTGAAACTGGAACGTACTGACACTTAAAATAGTGGTTTTTATTATCTTATCGGGTTCGTCGAGAAACGGGAGCTGGCAATAACCCCTGTCACGGCCGACGTTTTCATTTGCATTGCAATGTAAGCCAACTTGGATAGGAAGGAATTTCGGGCAGAAACTACAAAATTACCTCACATACGTACATGCTGGGTTATAATGTAATGCAAATGAGCAGAGTTAACCGTCAAAAGGGCTATTATCGTTTTATTTTCACTTTATTTTCGAAGTCACGAAATATAGACAATTTTTCGTACTTTTCACGTAAAAAACCCCACCTCCATGGATCGATTTACCAGACCGAATTTAGCAAATACGCAAAGTTTTGTAAGAATACGTCGCAGACACATGGAAAAATTGGACCCAAAACTTGCCAATTTTTATAACGAGCACTTGTGTACACATTTCTTTGTAAAAATTGCCAAGTTTGGGGTGCCATACGTCCACGAGTTTGCAACGGATTCTTGTGAAACTTCGCAAATTTACCACATTCAGGAGATAAATCGAGCGGTGAGGCTTATTTTTTGGCCTGAACGAAAAAAATCTGAAAAGCGTGGCATCGTCGAAGTGGTCCATTAGCTTCACGTACGTTCAACTGTTACGCTAGTTATCGATTGATCAGTCAATCAATCAGTCGGTCAATCAAAGAACTAATCTGCTTCTTATGGTATTGGTTATCATGGTCTTTCAATAATGCATTAGTCGTTCCCGTGTAAAGAGCTTTTCCGCATTCTGACCGCACGTAAATTGGAGCGAGAATTAAAAATATAATTTAAGCGCTCGGTGTCAAGTTGTCAATCAATAAATTAACTCACCCGTGAAAACAGGGAGCGTTTTTCAAAATCGAGGGGTTTGCGGGCATGCGTTCCCTCCCTCGCCTCACCACTCCCTGCTTCGTCGATTTTTTGCTCTCGCTCCAATTCACGCGCGGCCAGAATGCGGAAAAGCTCTTCGCATGGGAGCGCTTGCTACGCAAGCTAATAATGCATTAAATTTGCTACTTGGACCTTTTTTGGGGTAAAAATTAGTAGAAATGTTTCTTGGGGGCTTTTCCGGGTTTGACAAAAAGCCAAACGCTATGGCTAAATAAATACCCAGAAGCCGGTCAAGGTTTTCAAATCAATAAATGACCAGCAGTTTTATATTTTTTTTTCGAAGGAAACCATCCAATTCAAACTATCTTAGGTCAATTAATGACTGCCAAGTGATCCAGAAGAGTTTTATAGTTCAGCTCAGAGAACAAGACACTCAGTTCTTATTGTAGATCGACTCTCACTGAATGACGGGCAGTCCGTTACTTATCACAAATTTTGGGAATCGAGCGAACCGATCATATCCAAACTATTATTAAGAAGTGCGTAGCGATCCGGAAGAGCGTTGCAGATCGTAAGGCTCATAGACGGTTTGTGACACTTAGAGCTTTTTAAGTGCGACTGCCCGTCACAGGGTATTTTTAAGCGGGCTATAAGGTTGCTATGGTAACCTATTGTATCACAAAAATGGTAAGAACGTGTTTACCAATGATTAGGCAGTTTTTTGATACGATGATTGTAGCATCTACTGATAAAGTAGTTATCATGACCCAACAAAATCTTTTTTTTATTAGAACAACCAGAACCTGGAACTTACTCACCGGCAGAATGGACTTAGCTAATGCTACTCTTACTAGTTTCAAATCTCTTCTCTATGACTACTACTCTCGTGTTGTCAGAGTGAACTACAATCCCGACAATCCTCGAATGTTTAAAACCATCTGTTTGAATTCCACACGATTTCTAGAAGTACCAATAATGTGTTGCATGTAATGTGGTTTTTCTTTCTTTCTTTTTACATATAGTTTATTTCTGGGCCCGCAGTAATTGGTTACTGAGCTGTTGCGATGTCCCTGCCAAACCTCTACATATTGATTGTAATGGTTTTTTTTTTTCTTTTTTTTGTTTTGTTTTTGTTTTTGTTTTTGTTTTTGTACCATAAAAGCAAAGCTAATAAAATAAAATAACAAATAAAATAACAAATAAAATAACAAAATCTTGGAAAGTGCTGGAAATCTGTTTTAAGCCACCGTAAACCTTATTAGTCCGTCCTAACCACCATCCCTTCCCCTAACTGGATAATGCATATTCAGGCTGCGTTTACACAGACGCCGTTTCAAATCGACACGGTTACATCCTTTCGAAACCGCATAAAAAAGTACACGGTTTCGAAGCGTTTAAAACGATTTATCTGTTTTCTCGGCTGTTACGCCATGGCCGTGACATGTTTTGTTACCGGAGATCTGGAGACGATTATACCTTGAAACGTCGCCATATTGTTTAGGAAATGGCAAAGCGTAAAGATGTCAGTAATTTCGTTTGCACTGACGACGAGGTACAGCTTCTTTTGAAAAACGAACGACTACTAAACCGCTAAAAGTGCAGAAAATGTTGATTGGGAATCCGTACATCAAAAATACAATAAGATAGGAGTACCCGTCGGATCCGCTCCGCAAAATATCCGCTCTGCAGACCAAAGTTGAGCTGGCTGGGAATCTTAGCAATAAACAGAATCTTGCTGAGAATTTAGCTCATCGAGAGCTAGCTAGCTGGAAAATTTTTTTAGTGTACAAATAGCTTACAATGTGGTTTTACAAATCAGTTCTGGCTGGAAATTACATTCCGGA